ATATGGCGCTGAAGATGTTGTCCAGAAGGACGACGAAAGCTTGGCAGCTAAACCAACCAGCTCAGAGAACACTGTTAATTGCAAATCATCCACCTGAGCTACAAATCTTCTCTATTATTTCAAAACTTACACACCTCGCCCAGTTTACTTACCGAAAGGCGAGGTTGGATGTGAAGCTCAGAAGCCCACCCTGTAAAACAATCAAAACTATCACTACTGGGACGCCAAAGTTTAACCTTGCAGCCCTATATTTCTCCTGGAACATTCGCGAAAAATGAAAAAAGCTTATTCAAAGCAGAATATTTCACTGCCAGTCTCCTGGTCATATACTTAATGAATTTATTCATTATCAAATAATGAATTGCAGATCAAGTAGCAGAACGAATCGGCCGTAGTAATCGTATTTCACCGGGAGTAGAACTAGGGGAATATAATGTAACTAACTGTTAGTTAGTTCACTTGGTAAGATACACATTTACAGAATATTATTTACTAGATTACTTTTTGAGCAAAAATTGTTGCTTACACAAGTTTGAAATCACAAATTGTTCAATGACCACACCATAAATGAAACGATAGACTGACCTATAAATCTTCGTAACTCAACTAAACCGTAACAATATGAGATGGAGATGATTCGGCGTATACCAAAGATATTATGGGTATTCACACTTCATACGGTAGTGAATTTTATAAACTAATGAACAAAAAATGTATTACTCTCTCTTTATGACCCGTGCTGTGTATTGGTTGTTCCCGAAATCAGATCATTCATCTCAGAGGAAACAACAATATCAAAAGCATCCACCTGAGCTAACAATCTTCCCAATTATTTCAAAATATTACTAGTGGCCAGCACTTTTATTTGTCCGAAAAACGAAAGACGTTTCCAAGAAGATATGCATCCTCTGGAGAACAATTACTTTTTCTCTACGAACATCTGTCATGATTATTCTCGGTTTCCTTCTTTTCCAGCATTCACTACTATCTCAAACGACCACAATCTAACCTCTATATTAGGGGAAGATAATAAAATGAACCTTGCGTTACTATGGAAGACTTTTTATGCTATGTTTCCCTTGCATTGTATTCTTCATCTAGATCATGATTTTTGATTTTTCATGCATTAAGACGAACTCATTATTAAGATTTCCAGTTTAATTACTAATTTTATGTTGACAGTATTGATATACTTTTCCTGGATAATATCTATTCAAGCCATAGTATTTTAACTTACTCCCTATCCTCTTGACTCTCAGACAGTACATCATATTATACCATCTGTCGTGTTATTGTCTCTAGAACTAATAACTGGCATTTGGAGTAGAAATAATTCGGGAGAATATTAGATATTTACATTAATCTATCTTGTAAAAGTGATAATATCTTTATAACATGTTACGTAGACCATTAATTATAAAATACGATCCATAGTTATTTATCTATAAATAGAAAATAATCAGAGCTCATGTTAATTAATGATGTATCCTAGTACTTTTTGTGATAAAAGAAATTTTTCAAGAGTTAGCTTGTAGGGATTTTATTTGTTTCAAGTCCGATTACAGATTGATACCAGCTAGAGAAATACTGACAACCACAGAATACTGGACAGCTATTTCATCCTACTTTGGAACTCGTTGACAGTAGGTGCCCAACAGAATTCACACCTAGGACTTTCGAGTCACATTCAGCCTTTGGGAATCGATTCAGTGGTGTGTGAATTCTAAATTCTACCGATATTCGATTTCAGCTTGACAAACAGTCAGTGCCGTCAGCAGGTATTTGTACTCACTGCCTACGTGTTAGACTTCACTGGTCAATAGAATTCACTGCCAACATAATTCCAGGCAACTACGTCCTGCAACCGGGTTCTGAGTTTGATCCCTAGCAGGCATTTGCTGCCGAAGAGTTGGAAACTGGGACGAAACGATTGTACAGTAGCCCCTGCTTTCAGTAGTCCTCTAACTCAGATCGATCTGTAATCATACTTGAAATAAAAGAAACCATTACGTCATATCACTTACTGGATGATAGTTCTCACAACTAAATTTCAACTCTTAAGAGGTGAACCTTATGAAATACAGCTTGTCCTTGTTTATACAGAATATTTCGTATATTGTCTTCTTTATACCCCTTAGGCAAATTCCTTTTCATTCCTTGCTTTCAGAATGAAACATTGGGCTTCAGTAGTTTCAATAGCCCTGAAGTCAACTCTAGGTATCTGCTTAGTATGCAGCCTCCTTAGTTGTTTGAGTTTGCTGCCAGCTAGCGAACTAGGCCAGGTTTAGAAGTGGGTCAGCCTGTTTATGAACCCAGACCTCCACTACAACTGGTAGGGACTCAGTAATTACTTGTCGAAATACTGTTTCATTCAACGTACCATTTTAACTGTTTCACAGCATTTACAGCAATAAGTTTTCGTTTCAGTGAACTGTTAATTATAGTTGTTATGGCTTATTGACTTAGTGAAAATCTGACAAGCTGATGTTGTATATGTTGTGGAATTCACTGAGCTTCGTTGCGTAACACAATGACTTCTTTATATAACAAAAAAGCTTTACGAAATAAACATTTTTGAAGCCGATTATCTCCTTCTTGTTCAACATATTTTAGTGATTTTTCCATTTAGGCAGGCATTTCCTCTGAAGTTGTTGGAAGATTTAATTACATGAACTAATAATTAGTCTATCTAATAAATCAGACAAACAACTGAATATATAAAGCCAATGTGAGTATCCACAGCGACTTCTTCATAATTTTAACAGACTTCACAGAAATAAAAATTGTGAAGAAGTTAATGAGAGTCAAACATCTACTATGTTGGGGTATGTATGCATTTTTTTATTGTAGCTTGATTCCCCACAGTATTTTGGTACAAATATGGAATTTTCAGCATGCGATATCGATAGCCCAAATTTTGCCGGCCAACTTTTGATATCAGGTGTGCATCAGCCGTGGATTGAACCTCGGACCATGTGCATCGTTGCCGACAGTCCTAACCACTGTGCCACCCAAGCACAGTACTCAGATGTTTCATAAGGCGGGAACAACACTGTCATTTAAAATTATTTATTTCCATTAAAACAATCTTAAGTAGTTTAAGGCCACCACATCTGCTCTGTTAAACATGGTTTAATTTTAAGTAACATTCAATAACTTTAAGGTCAAGTATGCAATTTAAAGCTTTTGCTCAAGATTAACAGGACTATTCAAAATAATAAATATATGTATACTTATATATATACATATATGCGACATCACAAAACCTCACAATAGGACGAACAAGCCAACATTTACGTGCTGAAAGTAAAAGAGACTGACTGACAATTGCATGAAACTATATGAACTACCATTTATTTACATAAACCAGTAATGCTTGCTAGCCAAATCGAAGTGATATGAACACTGAAAGGCCGTTTTGCTTGTTTAGGGTGATCTGATTGGTCTATAGCCAATTAATAGTACATATTATCATGAAATTATGCTTGTCCTCTTGATTATTATTTATGGTATTAAGTAGAACCCAAATTATGATCAGAATAATTCCAGTTTCCAATGTACGCCAAGGTGAAAATTTTAATTCGAACTGGGTAAACTGTACGGTGTGCGTCGGTGGCACAGCCGTTAGGATGCTTGCCGACCACGCAGATGGTCTGGGGTTCGATCCCCGGCCGACGCACTTCTTCACCTCGCTAGGCCAGTAATAAGACTGATAAAGAGGGAAGGTTTGGCATGAGGCTAGCGACCCCATCTCTTAAAAATAGATATCGCTGCTACCGAAACTTCAAGCTTCTAGCTTGAAGCCCTATGTTCCACTGGGAACGTGAAGGAATAAAACAAAACTTTACGGTGATTTGAAAACTGTGAATTTGATTTACTAATAATTTTATGTATAGAACTTCGGCAGTATGGTAGAGTGTAATTCCATCTTAGATTACTTTGTTTGATATAATGCACAGTTACACCATATCAACAAATAGATGACGTCTCGAACAAGATTAATTACCTATAGTCATATCACTAGGCTTTATAATCTGCTTTACACATACATATTCTCACCCCCTTGTTGTTGTTTTTTGTGGTTTTCCGTACATCCAGAATTGGCCTTACCTCATTTTGACTGCATGGTTTTTCGGTGTTGATCCGACAAACAACTATCAGGTGATTAACGTTTATCTCTCTCTGTCTCTCTATCACCGAATCTTTGTTCACCAGATCACTACCAAACACATGCGATCAAAATGACACCATGCCTATTCCGGATATATCAAAAATTACAATAAACAATAAGGAGGAGAGAAAAATTTATGTACAACAAATTATGTAGCCATGTGGTATATACGCTGTTGTGGTAATGAGCACAAAGTGTTCTCGGAATATCACTCACTGTATCACTGAGTACTATATAACAATTTGTTTTATTTTTTAAATTTTTATTCCCCGTGAAACATAAGACCTTTAAGCTAGAGGATTGAATTTTCGGTAACAGTGGTGTTTATTTCTAAAGGGTGGGGTTGCTAGCCTCATGCCCAGCCTTCCCTCTTTACCAGTCTTATTACTGGTTTAGTGAGGTAAAGGAGTGCATCGGTGGCCGGGGATTGAACTCTGCACCATATGCTTGGTCGGCGAGCGTTCTACCATTGTGCCACAGATGCACCATTACATTACTAATAAATCTATGTAATTTGGAATTTAATTTAATAATTGACAATTCCTTTTCCGTCTGTTCCGTATACACTTTATGTCTAGTTTAGAATTTTTTTAAAGAATTCTTGATTTGAAAGATGTAGAAAGTACTATAGGCGTGTAACAGAGATTCTCACCATATGCTTATTATAATCGCACGACAAATCAAAATAAATCATATTCAAGGGTGACATGGAAGAACTCGTGTGAAGAGGAGATGAGAACGTGTGGGTAGTCTTGGGGCCGGCTACAGAGGACTGAAGACAACAGCACACGGTGGAGATGTGATGCTGAAGCTCTATGTACTAATAGGAATCCAGAAGAAGAAGAAGAATATTACATAATAATCTTTTTAGCCACTGTATATCAACTGCATATTATAATATAACTCCCTCATTTATTCAAAATTATTATTGATGTTATTAAAAATCAGCACAAATTAGGCTTTAATGCTTATCGTTATAAAATACACGAATGCAACAGACTACTTACGAGTCGCACATAAAATTCATTAAATTTACATTTACATTTATTATTCAAATATATATTATAAATTGAATAGAGACTTTTATTTATGTAAGAATCAATGTAGTAAGAAAGAGAGGCTGATGATCATGATGATGATGGCGTCTTCCAGCTTTTAATTTTGTAACGAAAGCAGTGAAATTTAAAAGGCAGTTATACATCTAGATAATGTTTTCGTTGAATAGAATAATGTACGCTTTTTAGAATTTTGAATAAAGTTTTCATTAAACAATAAAGGATAATATCTACTTGTCTTTTGATAATTTTTGTATTCTCCTTTATGATAAAGTTGTTTTGGAAAGGCGAATCATTATTAGATTGTTTGTTGCTTTTTGTTTTTACTGTACATGATGTATGCAAAGCAGGATGTATGTAGTCGTTAGCATACAGGAACAGATTTACACATAGTATATTAGTTAGTGTACATAAATTAGTACCATTTGTAGACATTTTTGAGTAGATTGTCTGTTTCATATTCGTTATTTGTTTCGCAGGATGTGTTGCATAATAAACACTTTTATCATTTTGCTCATCACAGTAGAATAAAACAATCTTCTTTGACATGCACAAATTTGAATCTTACTTACTTGTGTGTATTAGATGCTTAAGTGAAGGTTTGATTTCACTTTTACACGTTGTCCATTTGCACTTATCACAGTTCGACTAAGACCAGGAGATGGACGCCTTCGACTTGGTAACACGTTTTCATTTGGAACTAAAGAAAATGATTGTGTAGAATCTCTTGATTTTCTATGTGTAAAACTACGTCTTGATAATGCACTGAAAGAATATTTATTATTATGTGATGCATTTGAACGTTTACCACTACACAAGTGTATATTTAAATCATTATTTATATCAGTTTCTCTTAAGAGATAATCTTTATTACCACAATGACATCGGAGTAATCGACAAAATTCATGTCGAAATTGTTGACTTGTTGCTAAGTATATTAGAAATTTAGCTGCATAATGTGTTGTTGCAAAGCATTCAATTAATGCACGTACTGTAGCAAAACGAAAATAAGCTTTCCATTGCGGATCATTACGGACTTGTTCATCGGTTAGGTATAAATCACCAGTTGGTAGGAGAGGAAGAATTAACTGAGCAGTAGCTACTGAAAGATGTGCAGCAATAAGATAGAATGATGTACACAATAATGTCAGCGTACTTGAACGTGCTCCTTTACTTATTGGTTCTGCGTGTTGATTACGATCAAAGGTTGTATTTGAATTACCATTTATTGTTGTTGCAATTAATGCATTTGTTTTTGACTTAATACTTTGTCGTAGTACATGAATGACTAGAATGTTTAGCACAAGGCAGGTAATCGGGAAACAGAAAAAAAATAATGTCTCTGTTAGAAAATTCCATTTAGTATATAAAGAATGTTCAATAGATTCATGATCATCAACTGATGGTCTAGTTGTACAAACACCATGATCATATGTGTATACTAATGCTTGAACACTGGCTGTTATTAGACAAAAGATAAACATGATAAAGACAACTTTTAGAGCACTTTTCCCCGTAGAACGCATTATACTATTCCGTGAACGAAATGGATGACAAATAGCCAAATATCGTTCCAGTGTAAATGTGAACGCCAATACAGGACTCATATATTGTATTAAATAGTGTACTACTGGGAATACTTCACATATCACCGGATGATCAAGTACACCGAGTTGCCATGCAGTATGTAAATACCAGTTAACACATGTAATTAAAAAGCATAAATCCACAACACCAAGGCTAGCCTGATAAACTGCAGCAGCAGCACTACCTCCTCGTCTCATTGGACGACTACTCCATACAATTATACTGAATAAACTTCCAGGGAATCCAAGTATTGCCCATATAGGAAAATTGGCTCTTTCAATTATAGTTAAATGTGGTGCGAATGTTTTAAATAACAAAACATCACTATGATTATAACGTTCCCAAATTGATATATTTTCAGGATTATATTCCATAATATTAAGTGTTTAGAAAAATTGAAAATTTATACCTCCAGTATATAAATGTCATAAAAGTGAAATAAAAAAGCATTTTCGTAAATAATCTATGTCTATATGCTTTTATAGTCTACTGAGTGTTAGCCAATCAGATGAGAGCAATAAAAACATTCGTTTAAAAATAATAAATCAACTGCTGTCTCTATTGGTCTAATTCATCAATGTGTGATAAGTACTATCTCCGACTAAAACGTTAACCATATGAAGATGCTAAATGACTTTTCTAAAAGGAAAAACGGATGCATGTTAAACATTTCAACTTATACAACTAGTAAGTAACTAGCAATAGATCATTTTCTGTAAACAGAAGACATGCGAAACAGGTCACTTCCTTCACTCATCCAACTAGGAAGCATCGCTTCATATCAAAGTGACAGCATGGAGGAGGATGTCGAAACCAGCCGGAATCAGAGAGGCAAGACAGACATTCATCACTCTGGAGTCAATCTGGAAATCTTCTGCACTTTACATGAGGAACAGGATTGAGGCAATCAACACCAATGTTGTGTCAGCCAGTGCATTTGGAACCAGCTATCGCAGATTTTATCAACAGCTGCCTTCTCTGACTCCACACTGAAAACCAGCCTGTCAGTTGAAGGTAACTGATAACACGAAACATTGTGAAGGAAATAATCAGGACGCTGTCATTCAAAAAGTATTTGGAAGCAAGTGGAGATTGAAGGGACACATACTGAGGGTAGCAGTGATTGATATCGCACTGCGGGCGATAGCTTAATGGGAAGCTGAATTGGAATTGACGAGTTTGTTGTGGTTGTGAGAGTGATATGGAGAGGATAGTGTGAAGTGTGGATGAGAAGCTTTGAGGAATGTTGAGGCTAGTTGGAGGGTACCGCAGAGAGTGTTACGAGTTGGAGATGTGTTGTCGAAGGCTTATATACCTCTAGTAACCCAAGGAAACAATGATAAAAATAATCATCAGACTTTCAGTATATAGAATGCACTAAATGCAGTTACTCATTGCCATCCAATAGAATGAGGTAAGATGACAGTCCTAAAATCTGACAGAACAGGTAGGAGGGAGAGATCGATAACTGAAGCTTCCTTTCTCAGATCAGTTGCAAAAAATGCATTATGAATGACTCAACACCTGTCCTAGACATCTGAATAGTTCTACTGCCCTTTTGACGAATAGGAAAAAGTAGCGGAAACTATCAAATGATATGAAACCACAATAAATTTCGTTCGAAACTGTGTCATCCAGTAAATAATTACTATTTTACTGTGTGATACATCTAATAGACAAATTAATATGGAGTAATCACTTTATTTCATACAATAACAACTATAGAGAATGGAACTTTCAGCCTTGTACATACCGCATCGATTCATCTCTTTTTTCATAAATACAATAAGAAAACAAGTTAAAAGAGGAACAATATTTGTAATAATAATAATGTTTGTAATAATAATTTGTTGTTTATTTCCAGACTATTTCCATTCAACTTTTCTCAGTGTTTTTCTGACACTGATCTGTTCAAACAACACCTTGTGCTAAATGGTGTATAATTGAATTTACATATTTAGCCATAGGACTGTAGACTGTCATAAAGTTTCTTCTCTTTTAAACTGAAGATCTACAAAGACAGAGTTGTGAATAAGGAGGGTTTTCAGTATCCGACAACTGCTCACACAAATCAAGTGGTCTAATAACGGCTATATACATTATTCAAGTTATTTGCTTACAGCCTCCAAAGTCTTACATAACATAACATAATTCTTCTCAAGAATCTCAGGAAAGAATAAGGGTGAACCGTGAAGAAGAAATAAATAGACTATATGAATAAATGAATTGTAAGCAAACAGGTTGAGTTGCGCCAGTAGAAAGCTTCAACTCCTTAATGTCAGAGAGGTTGACTGAAAGATTTGTATAGGAATCAACAAAACATCAGACAACGGAACAAAGATATGAATTGAAACTGACGCCAATTCGCTTCCTGCTAGACTGCTATCAATATTAAAAGTCAATCTGAATGAAGAATATTTTTTTCAACAATTTCTCCTATTCAGGTTCTTACAATTATAAAATATAATATTTGTTGTCGTTACGATAAAGGCCAGTTATGCGACGGATACACTTTTAACGTAGAATAACAGATTACTTATGGGGTGTCAAAATAAATAGTCGTATTTGTGCGACAAACGTGATAGGCTGAATTCGATTACAAAGTATTGTAAAACGGGAGACAATGGTGGTGATTAATCATAATAGGTTTGTAGAGTGTGGGGTAGGAAAATTGACAAGTCAGTTCAAGGTTATAAAAGGTGTCAGGTGAGTGGCTAGTACAAAGTGGTCTGTGTTAAACAGGAGATAGTAAGACTGCAATGAGAGGTTCATAATGAAATGACGAATGTGTGAAATGAAACAGGTGGAGATAATATCACTAATAATAAGTCCGGATAGTATAAATGAAAAATTCGATAGTATTGAGAGAATGTTCGCATGAAGGGCATAAATCATGACGAATAATAATGATATTAATAATAATAATAAATGTGATAATAATAATATTTGTAATAATGATAAGCAAAGGAAAAAGGTGAGAAGAAGAATCATGAATCCAAGTTTGACCACGGTAGGAACAGCGTCTGGACGTGTTCTTTATGGATACAAAGTTCCGGTTTAGTCGATCTTATTGCAACAGCTTCAGCTATGTGTAGGAGACGTAAGCGAACTGTACGTGATAACGACTTCGGAATTCGGTATATAACCCTATGTGTAGGAGACGTACTTTGTACTAGCCACTCACCTGACACCTTTTATAACCTTGAACTGACTTGTCAATTTTCCTACCCCACACTCTACAAACCTATTATGATTAATCACCACCATTGTCTCCCGTTTTACAATACTTTGTAATCGAATTCAGCCTATCACGTTTGTCGCACAAATACGACTATTTATTTTGACACCCCATAAGTAATCTGTTATTCTACGTTAAAAGTGTATCCGTCGCATAACTGGCCTTTATCGTAACGACAACAAATATTATATTTTATAATTGTAAGAACCTGAATAGGAGAAATTATTGAAAAGAATATTCTTCATTCAGATTGACTTTTAATTCATAATATGGGAATATTCCACACTATCAAATCTTATAACTGCCATCAATATAACAAGAATTATAGGAGTGAATCAGTCCAATGGAAGTTTTGTTCACGACTTAAACTAAAATGAACAGTCTGACATTTAGGAGAGTGAGGAGTGTAGGATTCAGTTTACACCTACTTGAATATAACTAATGATTAATCTTTGATAAGAAACTATTCACATCAGAGGAATCTTCTATGCATTTATAATCATCTAGCCTGTATGTGAATATATATGCAAAACAGGTTTGCTCTCCATTTATTGTCTATCCAGACTAATATTAAACACAATGCTACACTTGTTCAAATCATCTTTTTATCGATTATGCTTATCATTCTCATCAGATATGCCTTACAAAAAAGTAGTTTTAGTAATTCAAAACGTAGATTTTTATCACATTCATGTATTTTGCTTTTAATTTGAAAAAAAAGAAATAATAAAATTCGTCATCATTTTGCATCACATTTGAACAGGTGATGCAAACAACTATTGACGAAATAAATGGAAGCATTCAGAATTATTTTCACTAGTCAGTGTTACAAATCAATAAATACAGTAGGATAAGTTAACACTTGTATAGATTAGTGAGAAAAAGACATTTTTAATCAATTAGACACTTTTCACTTCTTAGTAATTATGATGCCATTTCGATAGAGGAGAGACAATAAATTAAAGTTTCAATTTAATTTCTAAAGGTATAACAAACCTTGGTTAATCTTATATCTCGCGCAGAATATATAAACTGACTCGTTCACCTTGGCATGCCAGTGTGGATCCCGCAGACTTATAAACTTCTCCTGCGACCTACACCTTTCACAGTTTAGATAAGCATTCTGACAATTTTTCTCATTCCTCTGCTTTCTGAATGAAACTCACAGCTTCAAGCTTGGGTTGTGAAGTCCTTATGGGCTTTTAAACACTTAACCTACACTTTCTTATTAGCCCTATTGCTGACCATGCAACATGTTGGAACATGTTGTCAGTGAGTTGAACTCAGACCATGTGCATGTATGGCCTCCTATTCTACTGCTGAATCAAGTTTGAGCTTCGAAGTTTCATTGGAATTAGTGTTTATTTTCTACAGAGTGAGTTTACTAGCCTCATGCTCAACTTTCCGTCTTTAATTGCCTTGCTACAAGCGTAGCGAGGTATAAAAATGAGTCGGCCGGGAATCGAACCCTGGACCAAGTGGGTAGTTGGCGAGCGTACTTTCAATGAACCACGGTAACTCACTTCCTAACAAACAATTAACGGTCAGTAGGTGACAATATCAATCACAAAGACGAAAATGTCAACAAAATTACCCATCAAGCTGAACATGCTAAACAGGCAATAATCATACAACATGGCTAACGTGGAATTGACAGTTTGAGGGTATGCAAGATTTCATTACAATCGTTCTAACATGCTGACTTACATTGCTTTTATCAATGAGAGTTCGAGAGATGGAAAATTGGGAAGTGACTATGTTATTACCTGAAAAAAGAATAATATTTTTAAACCATATTAGGTGGAATAAAAAAGTAATGTAGCTAAGTACATAAAAGTGGAATGAATAAAAGGAAGCTCTACTTTAAAAATAAGATTTAAAGCAGAATACTTAGGTTCCATGCGTCGGTGGCATAGCAGTTAGGACGCTTGCCGACCATACACATGGTCAGGGGTTCGTTCCCCGGCCACCGACGCACATCTTTACCTCTCTGAGCCAGAAATATTGTTGGTAAAGAGGAAAGATTGGGCGTGAGTCTAGCAACCCCATCCTGTAAAATAAACACTGCTACTGAAACTTCAAGCCACTAGTTTGAAGCCCTATGTTACACTGGGGAACTTGAAGGAAAAAAACTTAGGTTCCATGGAATTTGAAGATTGCTTGCCTTGATTTAAGCTGGGAAAACTACAAGATTTGTAACCGTTTAATGTCA